TGACTGTGGAAATTCTATGTATTGCAAAGTTGTATTGAGAAAGAATAAACTAGTTTTATTTAAGAAAGGACTTGTATCGCTGAAGTTCGTCGGGAAGAATTTATACTGGAAATTAGCAAACGACCAGAGACGTAACAGTATCATAAATGTGATGATTACATAAAAGGAAATACCATGATGTTCAAATAATAAGTAAATAACACACAACGTAATGATGAAAAAAAGAACACGCCAATACCGTGATGTTCAAGTAATAAATAAATAACACACAACGTTAAAATAGATATAAATTAAAAACATTTTTAATTCAGGCCAATTTATGGCCTCTAAAATGTTGACTCTACATGCTTCGACGTTTTCCACGTCATCATCAGGAAAACGTGTAGTCAATAATGGTTGGAGACAGCTTGAATGGGTAATGAAGAAAAACTTTAATATAAGCTATATTAAAGTTTTTCTTCATTACCCATTCAAGCCGTCTCCAACCACTATTAGTCTCAAAGTGGGTTCCTCGTCATCGAATATGTATAGTCAATATTTTAGAGGCCTGAATTAAAAATGTTTTAATTGTATATCTATTTTAACGTTGTGCGTTATTTATTTGTTATTTTAACATTATACACAAGTACCAAGAAAACAATACGCGACATTCGTTTCTGTGCAACATCGGGTTGTTGTACTGTAATGGTAATGTTACCACTAGCCTTCAAACTCAAAATCTAAACTGCTTTCGTTGTCCTGAGGATGTTTTTATCTATTTTCCAAGTTTCAAGTCTAGTTAAACGTGGCACTCCGGTTTTTCTTGTATCTCTCCGCTTGTAAAACTAGTTCCTCGAGAGAACTTTATTTCTACATCCAAGGAAGTTCGCTTTTGTAATATATACAGATAGCAAGAGAGAAATTTCATATTACCATGAAGCAAACTGCGAACTCTCCCTTATATCAGATATTTAATTCAAATCTTTGAACGCAAAGACTCATTCCTTAAAATAGCGGCTTAAGTGTAGTCAAACATTTGCTTACATTTGACCTCATATTTATCTCCGAAAAAATACAGTTTGTTAATAGGTCACTTTAACAAACTGAAGATGAGTACTCAGATAAAATCGTGTTGCTGTCTGTAAGCATGTCACTGTAGATTACACATGTGAGTTGTAGATACACGTACCAGTTTGTTGTTAAGAAATATTATTTCCCTAAAATATATAGAGTTTACTTAGAAATAACAACTTTCTGGCCTACCTTTGGGTGTGCTCGTTTGGGAAATGCTATCTTCGGATCTATCTAAAAATAAAAATAAGAAACTATATTAAGAAATAATATCCAACTTCGCGAAAAACTCTGTGTGTGAAAGTTAGATATTTCTAATATTCTCCTGTTTACATACTTGTTACGTGAATGTACTGACCTGGAGACTTGAAAAAAGAAAGAAAGGAAAATTTGAAAAAAGTATAAGCTTTTTTGGTCCTCATAACATTAACGTTAAAAAAGTGAAATTTATATCTGAATAGATTCAGGATAAATATCACTGATAATTGTTGTTATTGTTTTTTCAATACCACACTTGTTCTTTTTCAGCAAACTTACCTTTTTCCCGTCAAGTTCGTGAGGTCCGTTGGCTAAAACTTTGTCTACACTATTGGGGTCAGCAAAAGTTACGAAACCAAAACCACTGTAGGAAAAGAAACTGGAAATTAGATAATTTCTAAACATGCTATTGCTTTCGTACTGTCTGAAGGACACAGAAATATCTAAATACACAACAAATATTTGTTAGTTTGTAGATTATTCAAATCATGTAAATATTTCCTTATAAGACGCATTAAGGCCCTATTTTTAATAATTTAACATGTATAATAAAAAAATATATACCACAAAGTAATTTCGTATGTTATTGCAACTACAAGTTTAATATAACATTATTTTGAGGTAAAATGGTTCTTGGTATAAAGATAACTTAAACAAATAAATATTACCAAGTATTCTGTCAGGCTTCCAACGTAAGATAGCAAACATTGAAACAATATTTGGTTTCTTTTTTTTTTTTATCTTACTGTAATTTTTTTTTGAAAATATCCACGGAAATTTTCTGCTCGTTATTTGCATGGTACATAAAAATATTAAAGAGAGTTAAGAAAGCACTGGTTTCCTGTCTGAGTTCACAAAGTATTGGGTTCATGACATAGTTCAGAAAGTACTGGTTTCATGTCTGAGTTCACAAAGTATTGGGTTCATGACATAGTTCAGAAAGTACTGGTTTCATGTCTGAGTTCACAAGGTATTGAGTTCATGACAGAGTTCAGAAAGTACTGGTATCATGTCTAAGTTCACAAAGTATTGGGTTCATGACAGAGTTCAGAAAGTACTGGTTTCATGTCTGAGTTCACAAGGTTTTGGGTTCATGACAGAGTTCAGAAAGAACTGGTATCATGTCTAAGTTCACAAAGTATTGGGTTCATGACAGAGTTCAGAAAGTACTGGTATCGTGTCTAAGTTCACAAAGTATTGGCTTCATATCTGAGTTCATAAAGTATTGGCTTCATGACAGAGTTCAGAAAGTACTGGTTTCATGTCTGAGTTCACAACGTATTGGCTTCATATCTGAGTTCATAAAGTATTGGCTTCATGACATAGTTCAGAAAGTACTGGTTTCATGACCACAAAGTACTGGTATCATGACTGAATTCAGAAAATACTGGAATCATGACTATCCAACATAAGAACGGATTGATACATATCATTTCGACAAAAGAAAATCCATCCTGTTTATTCAGTAAACATCATTTTATATAAATGGTACAATTCCAAAATATCAGCGATACACTGACTTGCCACTTTGCTATGACCCTCATCCCATCTATGAAAGAAGTTGTATTACTTTTCACCACGATGGTGAACTTAACTTGATGTGTGTAATCTTTACAAGATGCCGGAATGTCTATTTCGATTATTGCTCATTCGTTTAGAACAGTGGTTCTCAACTGTGGCGCAACCTGAGAGGCCTAGTATTGCCGAAAGGAAACGCGAACTATTTTAGAACAGTTCTAAAATAAACCAGGTTGCTTGGGACGAATAAAATCTTAAAGTGTTCGCTAACGGTGGTGAGAACATGGATAGATTATTGGCTTATATATTTTCTTATGTTTGCATTGCTGGAATAAAAACTGATAAGTTAATCGAACAAATGAAAGACAGTGAAAGGTCTCTTAAAAAGGCAAGCCTATTTCTTTTAAATTAAAATTATTAAGTTAAGAATAACATTTACGAACAATAACTTTGTTTTTTACAGATAAATAACACTCACATTGAGGGGACGGCGAAAAAATTTTTTTACTTAAGGGGATTTGGGGATGGAAAAGGTTGGAACCATTGGTTTAGAAGCATTCTTTGTACAAATTCATACATATAATAATGTGAACTTGGCATGCTATAAACTACAGAAATTGTAAAAGGTGTTTTATTTTATTATAGCCCACTCGTTTATGAGTTTGGTCTGTAATAATCTACAGATGCCGAATACATGGCGAATACAAGATAAAAGTTCATATTAAATGTGTTTAATCAGTTCGGAATCCAATGAATTTATTGGCCAACAGTAACGATAAAGTCACTATCGTACTCTTTGAATCAATTTTGCACAACATCGGCGCTATGGATTGTTGCACTATCGTCTTAGGAAAGTAATGTTCACTGGGATACAAATACAGCTTTAGTGAGTGGACTTGAGCAACAAAAACATTCAGGTAAGCAATGGATATTTTTACCCCTTTTTTAAAGAAATCAGAGGGCCTTTTGTTATCTGCTAGAACGTTTCAAACATTGTAACAGCAACTTGCTCTGCCGAAACAACAAAAGTAGGGGCGTGTGATTTCTCCGTATTTTTAATCTACTATCAGTAAACAAAAGGTGAAACCTAAATAATCAGACAATATCACACGATTTCAGTAATTTTCAGCCACCCATTGTTAACAGTATGCACCCTAAATGTCCCTGAAGCCGTATTTTCCTCTGGGTTGTTGGCTACAGTATAACACTTCCTATAATCGATAGTAATAATCGAATCCTGACTATTGTTATAGGAATTGCTCAATTTATACACGTTCTGACGTCTTTTGCGCTTTACAACCCTGCCTCAGCAATAAAAGTTTTACTTATAATGACAGAAATGAAAGAAAGTTTTTACATCTGGCTTTATGCTTTCCATAGGTTTTTTTTTTCATATTAGGGTAACTTTGATGTTCACAAAGTGCACAGTCAATCAAACTGAACATTTTTGTGCGAGATTTAGTTACTGCTTTGCATCAAAATACAAAAAAAAAGACAAATCACAATTAAGCGTTAAGTCACGTGTTTAAGAACACAGCAACGTTTCTGCAAACCGTGAAAAATTATACATTCATACATTTGTTTTGGAGTAGCTTTGGAAGTCTGTCAATATGCGTGCTCCTACATTGACCTCACTAACCTCCGTCACAACCTACTACAATGAATATTAATATGTAAAGCAAATGCTTAATCGTAGTCATCAGAATGAGCACGATCAGCGATGGAGAAATTACATACAATAATAACGTGGAAGATTGCGACTAATACTTCACGTAGTGTATATTTTTTAGGTTTACAATCTGAAGATTATTCGGTCTAGTTCTAGAATATACTGTAAGGGTTACAGTATAAACGCATCTTCACTAGCTCTACTTTAATGAAAAGGTATATTTCCTAAATTCATCATATGCTTAAAAAAAAAAGAGTTACATTGTAAAATAGTTCTTACTTCCAGTGTTTAGCAAATTATTTAGAAAATGGTGGGTGGTTTGCCTGATTTTAGTGTGCAAGATTTACAATATAAAGGACTAATCTTGTGAAGTTTCCAATTACAGCTTAAAGGAAATGTAATCATGGTCTTACTTAAGAACAAAACTGCTAGTTCAGTAGAAACGAAAAAGCAAGTTTTATTGATCGAAGGTCGATTTCAAGTTAATAATCATTAAACTTTCAAGTGCCTTTAACTACTGTTCTTTCTAATGACGGTTCACTGAGCCAAACTTGCCATGATCATTATAAACATTAAATTCTATCAGCAGATAAGGTAGTTAGTACTCTTGTCCATGTGTGTTCTTATAAAAAAAGACAGTCATCTAGTGGGATTACACATATTATTTTGCACAGCAAGGACAAGAAGAGTTATAAATGAATATTTTTAGCTTAAAACTATATCCTTCAAACGAATCAAATTCAAAATAAAATCAGTGGCCAGCAAGCATCTAATATATACATATAAACCTGGTCTACCTGAAAGAGTAATTTGATTTATCTTTATCTGCATGGAATGCTATTCTGTACATGACTACTGTAATGGGTTTCTCAGGGACACTACACCCTGAAAGTTGAAGGAAAACAGGTTTCTTCATATTTTCACAAATTGTATTGTCACTAAACCAGAGATTATATATTTTAACTTTTAACAAAATTCTTAAATCAAGCAATTCAGTTTAACAGCACACAGTTCTTTGGGCACAACTGTTTAACTCACTCGTAATTACTAACCTAAAGGCCAACATTCAATCAACCATGTTGGGTTAATCCCTTTCTCTTCAACTTGTAAGCTCTTTCTCCTTGGATTAAATGGTTGTAATGTATACGTAAATTTTTCATCTTGACATTAATTAGACCAAGTGTAGATCTCGTATATAATCTAAAGTTTCTCACGTAAATATTACCTTGCTAGGCTCCAGTTTGTATTCAGATTTACAATATAAAACGTCTTGCGTGATAGGATATCTTACCCTGTTCTTGGGTGTAGTTCAAGACTTATAATACAAAAGATATATTTACTAATTCTGATGTGTTTCTCAAAACTTACTAGACAACGGATGTCTTGTCTGGTTGTGGTATATACTTATGATACAAAGAATATCTTGCCTAGTAATGGTGCGTACGTAAAATACAGACGATATATCTTGGTTAATTAAGATGTGCGCGTCCAGACATTCTACACATAAAGCCTTGCCTGGTTCTGGTGTTTTGTTCAAAATTAGTAATGCTGAAAATATATTGCTTGCTTCTGGTATATATTTCAACATTGGACTATATTACCACGATAGAATGATATAAATAAAGAAACCTCTTATCCTATTCACTGTTTGTTAAACAACTGTAGATATCTTGTAGAGATTTGTGAAGAAAATAAGTCAAACAACAGGAGTTAATATTACAATTTCTTTTGCAGGTTAAAAAAGAAAATAACAACAACGAATAAACAAGAGCCTTCTGTGACGTCCCTCAGGCGGATCTTCCTATTAGAAGTAAAAAATTACTTCTAAAGATCACGCACATGTATTCACACATAGATAGATAGATATTCTGTTAACGATGGGGAAAAAATGGATTATTGCCTTTCGAGGAGCCCCCAGTTAGTTAAATGTGCAATCTTCAGAGCGGTTCGAATGCAGTCCTCTGGGTAAATACTTAGAAATAAAGAAAGTAATCAAAACGGAGAATTTGAATATTTGCGACACTTGCAAACAATAAGATAAACCAGTGTGTTCCACAAATCTGATGCTTCAGGTTACCTGCATTGTTTAAGCAACACTTGGATATAATACATCAGTACATTATCATCATAAATGTGTAACAATGTGTAAAATAACTGAATTATATTTTAAGAATTTC